AAATACCCAGCACATTTTCTAGTACCTTTAAGAATAAAAAAAATATTTATATTTGATGTTAACAGGTCCAATGTAACCTTTTGTTTAGCCTAAGTTTTGCATTATTCATATGTATTTTTTTTTCATTATTTTAGTTTGATAACTTTCATAATTGACCTAGCTAGCTGAATTTAAACTTAATATAATTTTTTTTTTACAAATACGAGGGTTGTCCCAAAAAGTCGTAGACAATGTTAATAACTTTTTAAACACGCAACCAATACTAACCAAATTTTGCATAGGCATAACACATTGAATGTTCTTTAAAATTGTGAATTCTTAAATATATATCTTTCATACTAATTATATTTGGACGATTTATATGAAGGCCGATATGGTCTGTCGGCGCACGACCAAAATGCGGAATAATTTACGCATATGGTACCATGTAAAGGATTAAACTTAAATTTAAATCACTGAAACTAGAATAAAAATCTTTATAATATGACAAATTTTTGTATAAATAACATTAGAAACAGACGACTTGTGGCATGATTTTCAAAGTGTTGTTCGAATTGAGAGTGATGAAAATAACGTCGTCGAACGCGTACCCGGCGCACGTAAATGTAATAAATTGTTTTTGGTATGTTTCATATTCATCAGAGACGGGTAAAAAGAGTACAGAGAGGATATTACACACTAAATTTTGATAGAGAAGTTTTTTTTTTTTAAAGTATGACATTCAAAGATAGTTTTCCTCTATATCGAAAAAAAAAATATTGCATGTAAAGTACAGTATTGATTGTTTAACGCAGACATTTGGGAACGTTCTGGGCCATGTACTTCGTGTATTCTCTGCTGCCTAAAATGTAAGGTGATCTTTTAACTAATTTAATTTTGACTAAAATTTAAATCTGCTTAAGAAAACGGACAGTAATGAATTTAAATTATTCCCTTAGTCAAGAGTGGTTTTTCACTATAAAAATATTCATTTGGATGTTTAAAAGCCTCGTGTAGCAGAAAAAGGGACCATGACGTTATGAGAGACGCTTGCTTTCGTGCGCCGATGTACACTCACATTGTTTCTTTATTTTATCATAGTTTTCTTATTAAATGTGATATTGTCATGAAAATTGTAATAAATGATCATAAAATGTTACTCTTTGCTATGACAAGAAAAGAAATTTGATTTAACAAAGAAAAAATAAACTATGTCCCCTGTCTACGACTTTTTGGGACAACCCTCGTATATGCAAATATTTATTATACCCCCCGCTTGAAAAGTGAGAGGGTATATAATGATCAGGATTTCCGTCTGTGCGTCCGTCCGTCTGTTACGCTTTATCTCTTATTCGCAACTCCTCTTAAAATACTTAGTGAAATTTAAAGAAACTTTCACAGAATCTTTATTACATATTGCCATTGTGAACCTCCTATTTTAGGTTTTAGGTTTTCCATAGCAAAACATGGACGTTGCCATTATATGTTTACCTATGACGTCACATATAGAAGCTTCTGGATAACATTTGATAGGACGAGTTATTCCTCTTTACACATTATCGTAAAACAATATATAACAACACATGGACATTATGGGAGGCGGGGGTATCATTTAGTGAGCTCATTGCTCACAGTACCTCTAGTTGAAAAAATAAGATCAATTTTTGTTGTAATTTTGTGAACCTCTAACCTATAAATGAATGAACCTATAAACTTCTGATCATCATAAGAGTCTCCATAACAAAGTCCCCAGATTTAACCGTGGGATACCAAGGAGATCCCCAGCTATCCGGGGTCCAGGCACCATTAAGGAAGGCGCGGTAACAGCTGTTGAACCACTAGCCACCCTTAGAGGCAATAGCACAGCTTCCTCTTGAATGATCGTTATCTTTGTCAGACGTCGAGAATTTCATTCCAGACAGATCAGCGGCAGAATTGCCCGTGTGCATCATACTGTCACCTAGATAATGATATTACAAAGCTACCTAAATAACGAAATTAGGCCAACTTTTGAATAATATTTGTTTGTTCTCCATCGACTTGGTAAAAAAAAATATTGGGTCGGTAGATTAGTGCGATTTTTTTTCATCGGATTTAATTTTTATTGCCATTTACAAAAAATAAAAAAATATATTCTGGAGGTTAAAAAAGATATTGAAAATGGGGCAATTTTAAGGCAAATGGTCGGGAGAGGGCATATAAACAATTTTTATAGATGACCTTAAAAACTACTCTATTAGCATACTCAGGTTTTTTTCTTAAAATTTCAGCATATTCTAATTCTTCAATTACCCCTCCCCTTTCTATTTCGTAATAATGTGATAATTTCTACTAAACAGTTTAGATACCTAAGGTTCCGGAGGCCTTCCCCGCCAGTAAGATTTGATATTTTTCTGCTTCATTTGAACCTGAGAACTGATCGTACAACTCGTATAGTTTGCTACCATTAACCAGAGTGATGGAAATGTAGAGACTACAGATCTTTCCCCTTGTTAACTGGTGGATCACGTCATTTCCTGTGAAATGTATTATAGAAATTAATCAATAAGTTTTAAAAAATATCAAATCTACGTTAATTGATTTCATAATGGGAGTCGGTGCCGTCAATCTCTTTCGAAAGTCATCTTATTTTCTCCTCTCTCCTTCAGAAACTCATTTACACATTTGAATTTAAAACTGTTTACCATATACAATTTTAAAATAGCCTATGTTTGAGCCTTCGTTTTTTAAATGGGTAAAAATTGGAGAACTTTTTTAATGAAATATCTTTGTATAATTACCGATCCAGAAATCCTGTCCCGCGTCACCAAATCCATTTTTATATTCGTCCCATGTTCGATCAAAGCTCACACTTCCATTTACACGTTTTTGGATTGCCTTCCAATAAAATAAATTAAATCAGTACTTTTGTAATCAAGATTTGAAATTTGTATATATTTTTACGAATCTCTTGAAGGAAAAATAATCAGAATGCATGTCATCAATGAAATAAATACCGTCCAACCCCCTCCAATTGTAATCATATCACAGTAAACGCTGACAGGTCGGGCTCGGGATCCATAGGGGTAAATTTCGTACACTCCGGAATTCGTCTCACCATGTTCATGGAGGTTTTCTCAATCTCTAGGTAGATCTTAAACATAACAAAGTCATTTGGATATGTAATTGACTCTAAATGCTTAAAATGTTTCAATGCTGAGCCTCTACATGCATCCTGAACACCATTTAAATCGGTAATGATTATTTTCATATCGTTAAATTTCCGGATAGGAAAGTGAAATGTTGTGTTGGTTATCTGCAAACATTTTCACCTATGGGTTATTAAATAAAACTTTATATACTTGGAGCCCAAATGATACACACATTTAAAATTACATTAAAAATTTTAATTTTTCGGATGTTATTTTAATTTTACGTCTTTCATAAATTAAAGTAAATGACTGGCGAATTTAAGTTTAAAATGAAGCTCAATGGACATTCTCTTCCACTTTGAGTCATTATTTAAAATCCACAATCTAGGTGAATATATAATTTATATATTTTACATTTTTTAGCATGACAACCTCGTTTGGAAAAAATTTAGTGAATGACGAACCTGATGGTGAATTAACCCAATTATGAATATTAATTATTTTTATAAAGTATATACTTAAAACCCATTCTCTTCCCATACTTCTCGTTCGCTTCGCTACAACACCTCTGTCGTCTAAATGCCAAGATCCTTAAGAAAACTTACTTTTACCTATTGTGTCATAAATTAAGAATGTAAAAGTTCTATATTCATGAAAGTTTTCATGAGAATGAGAATCGGATATCGATTTCTCAGCATATCTTATAAGGGATTATTTCTCGCCAGGATATTACGAACGTGGAAAATTTTAAATGCATTGCCGATAAATATCAAATTGAACATGGTTTAGTTTTTATAGACAAACAACTTGCAGCATTCCGTATTACTTTTTAGACAAAGACAGAGGTATACGTGGCACGATAACTCTGAGTAGAGATTGCTTTAAACCTAGACAAATTAGGTCCGATTTCCACGTCCCATTCCCAAGAAACAAAAACCTTCCGGATCCACGTTGAAGATAAGAGTCAAAGCAATTGATGTGAAAATGTTGATAGATTCCTATTCCGTCCCAATCTTGTACATTCCACGTAGTATTCTGCACGGTCAGAATCCCACAGTCTGAAAAGACATTAAAATGGAAATCTATCACTTAGATGTGTTACATATATGTAATAAAAAAATCATATATTCTTTTGAACATTAATTTTGAATGTGATAGAGTATAGCTTCCAAATATTCAAATTTTGACCCTCAGGGTAAGGCCACCATACGTATTACAATGAGGAAATCTGGTAAAGAACAGGAAGGTCAACGTTACTCAGGTTAGCGTCATTGGCCACGTTCCACTTGTTCAAGGTATTTTCTTCCATGACCTCAATAATTAAAATCAAATTACGATTTTCCAGCGAGAGCGTGCTGTCGGCTTAATTATACTCTTTTATGTTGATTATTTCCAAATGTTCATCAGTATTCATCAAGTCGACGATGAAACGAATTTCAGCACTTTGAAAAGAATACTTCAAACTGATAAAACTGAAGTTTTTTTTTATTAAAGATTTATGCTCAATTAAAAGCATGGTTAGTTCGATTTGTTTCACTGTGAAGAATTTGACAATAAATTATTTATCACGATAGCTCGGCAGTATTACATACCCATGATAACCCCCTTATAAGACAAATTTGAACACAACCCCCCTTTCAGATCGTGTATATGTTTTTCTAATGTATAGTTTCACTTTTTAAATTTGTCTGAGCATACCAAAATACATGGGGGGAGGGGGTTGTTGCTGTGCCTAAAGTAATAAAAAATTTACTCAAACATTGCTTTGTATAGCTGTGGACCCCTAACCCGACCTCGGTATGCCTTTTTTCAATATCTGTGAATCCGCTACTATGTTATAGCTTTGAACTTGAAAATGCAGATGGGTTAGCGTATTTAGTCCCTAAATCAAATACAATGTAATATACGATCTGCGAATGCTTAGGGCATTGGTTAAATTCTGTACTTTCAGTGAAAACCATAATTGCAGATATGATATATCTGTATTAATGAAGAGCATGCAGCTTGGACGTGAATGGTCTCTGAAAGGCTATTTTTGAAAGCATGATATGTATATAGACAAGACCCCTTTAAAAACCGCTATTTGCAAGGTACTTTCGATATCAAATCTTTTTTGGACCAAAAAAAAGGGAAAACAACTTTCCAGAGGTAATCGAAGTCTAACTTGTCCTTCATTGGTAAACATAATTTGTTTCTTGAATTATGGCTTTCACCAAAATAATAGACTTACTTAGGTGTATTTAAAAATATGTATTTAATTTTTTTTTTCAGGATTAATATCCGGTATCTGATATCAAGTGGTACTTTTTATCTAGCTATCAATCATGCAAGTGATATATTTATAAATTGGAAAGTTTCAACTTTTTTAAACTTCATAATTTTGGAGCTATTGTAAAAATAAATTTTTGGACATGTTGACGTTTGATGAAATATTTATGCTCGAATTACTTCCCCGTGTAACATGTTGCATACATTATTCTGAATAATTGGAATTTTTTCAACATTTTCATGGAGAATTTTGAGATCTATTTTATTCGAAATTTTAAACAGGAAGAAAATACATACGTATAAAAAAGTCAAATAAATTCGGAAATTAATTTACCTCTATGTCACCTTAGATGACACACATGTTTTTTCAAAGTAAGTTACTTTATTGCTTTTAGAAATATAATTCCGTGTTTCATGAAACCAGAATATGAAAATTATATCTTTCATAATAATTTAAATTTACTTATTAGAATAACGAATACATATAATAGGTTATAACATTTCAATTTAGTCAAGGTGATGCGTTATTGGAAGTACCTAAGATATTTTCTCAGATATGAAAACTGTTCAATGTAACATACACATACTACTGCGGGTTTTTATTTCAAGACAAATAAAGTGTTATCTTAAAAAGCATACACTTCAAAATCTTCCTTGAAGTTCTTCGATAAAATCCTCGACAGACTGTAAATGTATTATACGTAGTAGTTACCACATATAATACTGTTGGTTATGTGCATATTCCCGATGGGCGTGGTCATAATGACACGAGCAACCATAACTCTCAAGTTGTCATTATGACCACGCCCATCGGGTATAGGCAAAAAATCAACCGTATTATATGGGGTAAATGACTTGTAGCATAGTTTTCAAAAATCATTCATGTGTTCATGTAAGTCAGCTTAAGAATTATTCGGAATGGTTCGTGTGACTGAAAAATAAAGTGTTTGTTTTAATGATACATTTAGATTTTATGTGATTTTACGCTCCCTCGTGTCTTTATGACCACGTCCATCTGGTAAGTGACCTGGATTCTATACTTTTCAAAAATTGATTGTATGTTTGACGTTCTTCTCGAGAAATTTTCACTCATGTTGCGAACTCTGCCGGTGGACAGCTACAAATTCTGTCCTAAACTCAGCACTCAGGGTCATTGAGGAGCGAGGGAACTTCTTCGAGCGACCTCGGTTTATAAGGCCTCATCAGACGGACAAGTCTCCACATTCCACAGTGGGATTCGACTCCTTACTTTAGGGCAGGCGCTCTAACAACGGGGAACGCGTTTGAAAAAAATTTGAATATATACAAGTTCATTTAAAAAGTTTGCCTGATTAATGTAATTGAAAAATTAACGAATTTGGTTTCAATGAGATAATCATGTTGATTAATCTGATTATAATCAGATCCTCGGTCCTCTCCTTTATTCTACACCAGGATCTGATTCTCCTGTAGCGATCATAAAAAACAAAGAAGCGGATCGAGGATCAGATTGTTATGTTGATTTGCAGCCCTATGCTCCCCAAGGAGTAAACAGGAATAAATCAAGCAAGTCAAGTTATGTTGTTTTGATAAGTTTTTTTCTGTCGTAGATTTCAATTCAATGAATATTAGACCTTTGATCGGCTAGATCCGCAATCGAAAACTTCATTCAAGTACAGTAGAGTACACTCTTGTTTTTACGTCATGTATGTACCGTGTTTCCTTTGCTGGTTACCAACAGAAAGATATCGGAATCTACCTAGGTAACGCCACCCTGGCCATGACAATATTTAGAAAAAAATTAAAAATCAAGCGATTTATGAAGGTTTTTTTTAAGCTTTCTGAGCCAAAGGCTAAAAGAGCTAATGCTAAAGCCATTTGTGCGGTGTGCGTAAACTTTTTAGAATATTGGCCATAACTCAAGAACCACTTGGCCAATCAAGGGCCTGGACCCTTAAACAAGCGGAGATAATCAGAAAATTGGCTATAAATACGGGTTGGTACGAGATCTTATTCACTATAAAGCCCGTCGGGCTTCATGGAATTTGATCTCCTGGCCAAGACGATGTGTAAAAATAATACCTTATTTCTTAAGTACAACTCTTGATATCCCATTTTTGCCCCACTCTACCATTATTTGAACAAACCTTAATCTGCACTACCCTGGGATACTTCCATAAAACAGTTAGACCAATCACATCTTTGCTTTTCTCAATTAAAGATTTTTAAAGATTTTCTCTTATTAACGTTAATTTGATAACCCATAATGGTCCCACCCTACAACCGGGGTCATGATTTGAACAAACTTGAATCAAATCTACCAGAGATGCTTCTACATGAGATTCATTTTTCCTGGCCCACTGATTCTTGAGAAATTTTTAAGAGATACCATTAATTTATCACTATTTTATGATTATCTCCCCTTGGAATAGGGCGTGGCCTTTCATTTAAATAATTTTGAATTCCCTTTATCCAGAAATAGTTTGTGGCAAGTTTGGTTGAAATTGACCTAGTAGTTCTTGTGAAGAAGATGAAAATGTTAAAAGTTAACGACGACAACAACGACTGATTGATTGTTATCGTTTAACGCCGAGTCGGCAACATCTCAACCATATTTCGGCGGTTAAAGTTTACGTTCGAAGTTGCATTATTTGGGGGGGGGGGCTTTCTTTGGCGGACCCTAATGAGCCTATTTTTTTTTTTTTTGAAAAACAAGGGAATGATCTCTGCGTGTCAA